TTCCTGTAAAAATGGAAGTAGTGGGGGGGTGGGAGGGAGCCTTTTCATTTGGCTATTGCCATGTTTATGATCATGTACCTTTTAAAAAGCTAAAAGACAAAAAAAGGAGGAAGCAACTTCCTTACATATGTCTAGTGGGAATCTCGTTAATGAATTAATGTAGCACTGTTGATCGGTGCTTTGTGTAAATACATCGTAACTTCTGGGTGGAGAAGGGTCTTCAGAAGGATAGTCAATGATATGAAAGCAATTCTGTACATGAATTAAGCATACTTGCTGCATTGTCTCTGCAGATTCTATTTTTGTTTAAAATATTAAAATGTATGTTAGCAAAAATGGGTGAATTTTCAAATAAAATGCAGCTTCCACAGAACTTTTGTTACGGTATGAAAGTCTAAGGTGCTTTTTCTTTTTTGCTGCTTAAAATGTGCACTGATTGCTTTGTTTACTTAATAAAATATCCAGTCTATTTCCCACGTGCATATTGTATTGCAGGAAGTGCAGCTCTGCGAGCGCCCTGGTGTGTCTGAGGCCTTCCCTGCRGCACTGCAGGGGCCTCCTCTGCCGCATCCCAGCGAGTTGTCTCGTTAACAGCTGCCTTCCTCGCTTAAAATATTCCACTGTCTTCTAGCTCTTCAGAATATTCATTCATGGCACTAAACCACTGTCTGCAAAGCACACACAAATGAAGGCATCTCCCCCAGGCTTCAGCCCTGGTGGTAGTACCAGGGAAGCTTTGAGCAGCTTGATAAGACCCTCTTCTGCCTCGGAGCCTAGTTTTGACCCCATGAAATTATGGTGGAAGTGGAACCGTGCTCTTCTCAACCCCCAGGGGTTTGTCCTGAAGGTATATATGTCATCTATACATCATAGCATAAGCAGCACAGAGCAGCAGGCTTCAAAAAGCATGAATAGCAAACTGTACCTGGTTCTTGTAGGGTATATAATGCCCAGCACAGATGTGGGAAGCTTTGCAGTGCAGTTCCCTTGGAGCTTTAACTTTCTAGAACTTGAGCTTTGAAGGTGTGAGTACCTTGCAGAGAACAACTTCCTTTCAGGTTCCCTTGGGCTTGCAACCCACATGCCAAGAATGTGAAGGGTTAGAACTCTCTTAGAACTGTGTGAAGGAAACTATTAGTACATCAGAACCACAAGAATTTTCAAGCACAGAGCAAATTTTAGCTTAGACGAAAGCAGAATGACCATGAGATTTATTTCTTAAGACAACTCCTTTGCCAAAATAAGAACCTCAGCTGCTACTAAATACATGCAATTACCTAAAGCTCAGAGGTAGAACAGTCATTAGAAGGTAAATCAAAACTCTTGRGCTGTTCTTTTATTTCCCAAAGTCAAGCTACAACATACAGATCATGGTGGTACCTCAGGAGATCCGGTCTTCAGCAAGAAGGTGAGACCTGGCAAAACCTGTGCCTGATTTCAGGGTATACTGCACGTTCTGGGAAGAGGTAAAGAAAAATGCAACTTGAAGGCCAAAACAAACATAATTGGGATAAAAACGGTATTGTAGCAAAAAAAAAAAAAAAAGTAGTATCAACATTCTACAAAAGGTGATAGGAGAGCACTTCATGGTGGAGAGCAGAAATGCTCTTGRTGGCTTTACTTAAATCTGCTCAACAAGAAGTCTGATTTTTTGATGCTTCTGTTTCCATATCAAAACTGGAAAAATGGCTGATTTGTATGATATGCCCCAGCTAGATCCAGGGAACACTGGCACTGGAATAGCATCGAGTTGTAATACTGCTGTAACATTGGTGCTGCCCTTGTGCATCTGACCGCTACCTGCGGGAGACCATTTGCCCAAGATGCAAGTAGAGTAAAACACGTTTCTTATTTCTTCTCTTGCTTCACTTGCTCATGGGGTTTCCCAAGGCAAAGATGAAAACAGCCTCAGCACAAAGAGCCAATGTCCCTCGTGGATGAACTGATGGTGCAACTGGGAATGTGCTGGAAGTGGCCGGCTGGTCCAGATGCACTGAAACTGGGAAATACAAGATGGATATACAGAGCTGAAGCCTCTGACTTATTTTTCATAGCAGGGATCTTGGGCTTGCTCATAATTAAACTGAACTTCCCTTTGCCAGCTAAGCTGCACTAGGGCAGTGTTTGAGTGTAATTTTGGTCTCTTGCAGTGTTTTAACCACTAAGAGGAGAGGAGAGAGCCAGCACCGTGTCGAATACCAGTCTTCTGTGGCCCGGCAGAAATGCTCTGCAGGCCATGGAGCGAGCATAGCTGCTGTTGGCTTTTGAAGTGCCGCGTGTTGTTACCATGTTGTGAAGTGCCCTTTCCTAAAACAACATCAGATGCTTGCGGTAGCCTGCAGAGACCGAGCTCTGGAGTGGGAGTTTTGCAGGGAAACACTCTTTCTTCTAGAGGAGCCTCGAACCCAGAGAGTCATTTCAGAGGATTATCCATTAATAAACGGATAATGGCTTAGGTGCTAGTGCCTGTTCCTTGCTTGTCACTAGAGCGTGGCTTTTAAGTCCATTAGCTTCTGTCTTGACTTTGTTCTGGCAAAGGCCTTTCAGGTGGCAGAAGCACTTCAGAAGCTGCGGAGAGTGGCCGAACAGGAGCAAATCACAGAATCCCAGAATGGTTGAGGTTGGAAGGGACCTCTAGAGATCATCTAGTCCAATCTTCCCRCTCAAGCAGGGACACCCAGAGCATGTGGCACAGGGTGRCATCCAGRTGGGTTTTGAAGATCTCCAGAGAAGGAGACGCCACARCCTCCCTGGGCAGCCTGTWCCAGGGCTCTGACAGCCTCACAGAGAAGAAGTTCTTCCTCACCTGGAGATGGAACTTCCTGTGTTTCAACTTATACCTGTTGCCCCTTGTCCTATCAGTGGCCGCCACAGAGAAGAGTTTGGCCCCTTCCTCCCTACATTCTGCCCTAAGGTATTTGTACATGTTGATCACTTAGCCTTCTCTTCTCCAGGCAAAGCAGGCCCAGCTCACTCAGTCTCTCATATGAGAGATGTTCCAGTCCCTTAACCATCTTTGTTGCTATCCACTGGACCCTCCCTAGAAGCTTCACATCCCTCTTGTCCTGGGGAGCCCAGAACTGCACCCAGTACTCCAGGTGTGGCCTCACCAGCTGAGTAGAGGGGCAGGATCCCCTCCCTTGACCTGCTGGCAACATCCTCCTGATGCAGCCAGGATCCCATTGGCTTTCTTGGCCACGAGGGCACACTGCAAATGCAYGTCTCAAACATGCACGTCTGGCCATGTGAAAGAATTGCCTGGTTATATAACTGAGCTGCATCACAGACTGCGAGCTCTCCCCAAACCAGGGCAGGAGGGCAGTAACAGCRTCCCTGCAACCCGGGCTGAGGACGTCGCTCCAGAGCCACCCTGCCAGGAGCAGCGTCACCCGGTGGCTTCACTGAGCGGGGAAACGGCTCCGGCCTCCGCATGGGCGCGGGCTGGCGGGTCCCACCTCTGCATTGAATGCGCTGCTGTTGCTCAGCTCCACACATGCACTTTGGTTCCATTACAGCTGCTTGTTTTTACAGCGTTAATGCACAAATGGAGTGACATTTGCAGCTCCTTAACCCACTTTGAGCCCCGCCAACACTCACAGCTTTGCTGTGGAAACTGCAGGTTTCTCCGAGTTGTATAAGTGCCAATTAAAAATGTAACAGGCACAGCGGAGCTTTTGCTCGGACTGTAGCTGTGTGGACAGCTGGAAAACTTTCGGGGTCCTGTAGCCCAACTGATGCCCTTCCATGTGTCTTCTAACAGAAACACAGCGACAGCAGCTATTGCAGGATGGCTGCAGAGCCCTTACAGGCAACGTGGGTCAGTTCTGCACGAGCTGCTGYAGTGAGTCATGACTCCCCTTGCTTAATAAGCAGGACTTGGAGGTGTTGGCCAAGCTGCTGGAAAAAGCACTGAGCAGCCCTCTGGTTTACAAATGTTGCTCATTCGTGAGAGATTCTGCCAGTTACGAAATTATCAGATCCAGATGTCTCAGTTGTTGGAGGCCATGTTGTTCTCCATATAAAAGCCTCACGCTGGCCTTAATGCTAATCCCATGGAAGTCGAGGGGATTTGGGACACTCTGCTAAATACCCTTKGCTGCGGGCTGTTGCTTCCAGCGCGTGCAGGCTGCGGTGACTTGCACCCTCATTACCCTGCTCTAGACTTGTGCTTAACTCCCTCCCACCCGCGCGGGCTCGAGCAGCCAAGCCCTGCTCTGGGTGTTCCCTGCTGGAGCAGGGGCTGGACTAGATGATCCCTAGAGGTCCCTTCCAACCTCAGTGGTTGGTCTTCCCTGTAAGCCATTTTATCTGGCCTGTGTTTCAGCCAAAATAAAAAGCATAACCAGAGGGAGGCTTCTGCTATTTAGTGCCACGCAGGTGAGTGTTGTCCCCAGCCTGTGGCTGCTTGGGCCACCTCCGTCATGCTCGTGCAGCAGGAGTGCTCAGGATCCTCGTGCTGCCCTCACACTCACCCAGGCACTGCAGGACCCGGGATGAAGGCGCTGACCTTCAGGTGTCTCCTTGTGTCTGAGGTGCCCGTGGAGCCTGGAGGAGATGCTGGCTCACTCGGGAGGAGACACCTGGTGTGTCAGAGGTTCCTCCTGCAAACAGCATTCACTGCAGTGTGAGATTAGCTGATACATTGTGTGGTATATGCTGTTACAGAGAAAAGGCACCTGATTAACTCATCTGGGTTAATTTAGAGTATTCAGTGTTGCAGAAAGTTCCTAAGGAGGGAAGTGCACAGGTCAGAAACCTGCTCACACCCGTTGGAAAGTGCACTGGGTAGCACAGGTAGCATTTATGGAACACACGGTAGCAGTGCGAAAAATCATGGAGTCAGTGTCATGTGCTCACAGATACAGGGGTAGAACAAAGACACAGGGTTAAACAACATAGTTGGCCCATTCTTAACAAAAAAAAAAAAAAAAAAAAAAGGCATTAAAGTCTTAGAAGTCTTTAATGAAATATTTTATTTACGGATTTTCATGCAGAGAGGTAAAATGCATTAACTAATTTCTATCAGTAGTAATCAGGCATAAACAAGATTTTGCCTTGGCAAGGTAGTAAGTTCTGCATTTTATGGCAGCCTGCATTTATCTGCTCACTGTCTGATCAAGATGTTATTCCACATATGACAGCCTGCAAACAGGAACCACACAGCCAAATATTAACTTGGATTCTTTATTAGTTACATATGAATCTGCTCGGATTGAGAATCCCAAGGACTGTGTGMGAGTCACCACTGAGGCTCACACTGCTAAGGAAGGCAGCCTTTCAATGAGCCATCAGGGCACAGACATCTCCCTAACTGACTGTTTAATGCACAGTGAACCATTACGTTTTGGACACTTAAGAAGAGTTTCCACAAAGCACAGTGCCACACGCTCCTGTAAGAACAGAGCAAATATTTAATGAACTCAGAATGTGACATTTCCACGTTAACAGCAGAGGTTGTCAACTTTTAACCAATCTTCTCCTTAGATAAGGATCTGATCATCTGAGCTGTGATGTTCTTGCCTGGTTTGCTCATGAAGCCATCTTCAAAGTGGCTCTTGCCTGGCATCTCTTGTGACTCCTCATGAACAGGCATGGCTCTTCCCACCACACACATCAGTTTTCTCTCCAGAGGACCCAATTTTAAGTATTCCTTAAGAAGAGAGAATATTACTTTTCTACAATTATACAGAAGAGAGAAAGTGCTTCAAAAGACAGCTGCTTTCATCTTCAAAGTAAAGATGCTATCCTGGGGTTGCCATGTTCAGTCATTTCTGTATTAGTGGCATTGTTTTACAAGGAAAGAGTGGTTTCTTTGCAAACTGTTGGTCTTGTTGGCTCAACTGAGGAGGCTGATCCCTGCCGTGCCCTTCTTCRCACAGATACCATTTCATTGACACCTAAATTCTTTCTCTAAAGAGCAAGCTCCGGGGGTGGGATGAAGCTAATCCAGCAGCTCGCTGCTGTCCAGAGGGTCAGCTCCAAGTCCAGGTACTTTCAGCATCTTTGTGCTGCTTCCTGGGCTCTCAGCCAGTTCAGTTCATTGCCCAAAGGAAAGGGTTTTCAGGAGGGGAAATTAAAAAGAAAGGAGGTTTTTTGCTGTCCTAGTGAGTGAAGTAGAATCAAAGTGTGTGCGTGCACTAGGGGTTCGGTAAGGGCAGGAGCAAGACCACGTGGCCAACAGGAGGGAAGAGGGAAAATCCCCCTCCTTGTGTTTAGGAGGCACTTTCATATGAGCTGCCAACACATCTGCAGTGCTGGCATTGGATGTGTGGGGTGGTAATTACACCTCAGGYGCTATGAAGTGCCAGGCTCTCAGGAGCCCCTCTGCAAGGACGGCTCTGCAGTGGGAAAAAGAAATAAAGCAAATTTTCCTCTCTCTAACATATGCACAGAAACAACCTGAACAGATTCTGTTAAGCACTTAACTTTTCTGTGCATTGATTCTTCAGGACAGAGCTACTCTTTAAAGTAGTCTCTGAGCAGGGCAACAGGATGATTTTTCTAACCACAATTTGCAGAGTATGACTCAAACTAATAAAAATTTCTAGAAAAGAGGATTTTTTTAACTGTCTTTCATTCTTGAATTTGTTTCAATAGAGTATTTTAAAGCAAAAAACTTCCACATGTATTAAGGAAAAGGCTCTACACAGCAAACACTGAAATTTGCATCATTTTTTTATCATCTTCTCGAATGTGCAGCAAAAATCCATGAGGATGAGTAATAGATTTTCCAAGCGTAATTAGTTTGTTACAGATGCAGCAATCCTACCAATCACATATGCTGACTCCCAGGACACTGTTCAGTTGCCTAAATATTTGGGCCCCAGGCCATTGGAAAAGCCCTAGGGCATCCAAGACACCCACGTGAGGCCTCATGCTCTTTCAGCCCCTCACCTGAAGGCCATGGAGTGTCCTTCATCTCAATCAGCACTCGGTGCCTGTGACTAAGCAACTGAATCACACATTATTTTAAAGATAATTTCTTTTTCTGACATAACAACCCTGGGAMTAAGGCCATTCCTGCCAGTAGCTCCTTCTCCAGCATGAAATAAGTTCATGTCAGTGAACCCAACACTTTAACTCCTACCTGGAAATCTTTTTCGTCTTCATACAACAAGCTACCAAGAGTTGGARCAAATGAATCTTCCCACAGTTCCTCATAGCTCTCTTGAGGCTTCTCATTCTCTGTTTCAGAAGTAAACTTKGAAAAAGCTTTTTCATTTTGGTGGSGGACTAAGGCATCTYTAGGACTCTCATCTCCATCTGTCTCTGCTTTTGAAAGAGAAGAAAAATGGTGTGCATTTAATTTTTAAGCTTCATGAAGATAAGAATTAGCCTTGCTTGTTAGCTTTAAAGTGGCTTGACCATTGAGGTGTTAAGAACAGCTCTGGTAGGATTGTTAATCAACAATCCAACCTGGGTGTTACTTTTGCTCACTGATTTTCTGTGTTCACTTCTGTTTACTGTTTCTGATCAAGATCAGAGACTGAAATGGATCAAAAGTGAGAAGTTGATGGGTCTGTGGGAGGAGAAAGGGTAAAAAGTGAGTGTTTAACCAGTCAACTTAAACTCTACCTAGGCATATATAGTTAAAAAAGAGGAAAGACAGCAAATACAAAATGCACATTTTTTTTTTTTTTTCTATATCAGGTTATATGTCAATATATGTACATAGAGACAAATTCCTGAGACAGAGCTGGGCTACTCAGAGCTCTCCTGAACAGCTCACATTTGCAGTTGAGTTAATTCTCAGAATGACAGGCAATTCTGTACATAAACTGCCAAATTACATGGTTCCAGGCACAGTGACTTTAGCCTGGTTTACTGGAACAAGAGCTGTTTCTCCTGGGAAGGAAGGGCTTCCTAAGGGCTGAGCTGTTCAAAGAGAATGTGCCTAATTCAACAGCTGTGGCCAACATGGTTGCTGATGCCTGACGTGGCTGGAACTGATCAGAACCTCAACACACTTTTCACTTATTYCTCACCATATGGTTTCAATGCCTGCAACTTACCCCCTCAGTTTTGGCTAGAAGTCTTCTCCTTCTCTTACCCCACACAAAGATGTAAAAGAAAACCTGTGATACAAAGGGAAGCCACAGGAACCTCTCTGTATGGGTAAACACACTGACATGGTCTTCTTGCATAATGGTATGTCCTTTTCCTGGGCACACCTACCAGTGTATATACAGCCTGAGGTCAATAYTGCTTAGCAGGGTTTTCAGCTGAGGCTGAGTTCCATGCAGCATCATCTCCTCTGCTAGGGACTCATTTCAATTAACTTAATGTATCTGCATGAGCTAAATAACTTTGACGTGTGTAGGCTTCAAGTAAAAGCCAAGGTGGTGATCAAGAATTTGCTCTCTGGGAAAACATGTAATAAGGAAATGATGATGAGGTGGATCAGTTAAGACCTTGTGAATCACATCTTCGTGAAAGATCTTATGAACCAGGTTCCATAATGAGCAATTACATTCAGCCATCGAAACACTGAYATCAGTTTTAGAAATGTATTAAGAATTGTGTTCTTCTCTTCCTTACCCCTACCACAGTGTATCCTTGTGACAAGACTGCATTTAAGTTGGAAATTAAATGCTCAGCATGTAAACTGTGCTGTGTGAAGAAAATCTTAAGAAATGAAAGGTGGTTAAATGTTCTGAAACTTTTCAGCTCTTACAAACTGCTGGCATATGAATTACCTTCTTGTTCTCCATGCTCTAATCCTTTCATTCCATCCTTAGGTAACTCATTTTGSAAGCCAGCTGCCTGGGTAAGAAACAAATGCCTACAAAATTAAGGAAAAAAAAAAAAAAAAAAGTGAAACTCCCATTAGAGCTCTGAATTTTCTCCCTAAATTGTCTTGTGCAGTCCTTTAAGGGAATAGTAAAGGAGRAAGTGAATTGGACTATTTCTGAAAACCATTTGCTGCTTAACCACAAAGGCACAGTGGTTTAAAAATGCAGCAGAGGCAACCAGGTAGCTTCTTAGTGGCTAATACACTGTTCTGGTTTGTTTTTATTCTCAGTGCCTTAGCTCAACTATGTGAGAGTAGAAGAAAACAAATGTTAGAGTCTCCAGTCAGTCCAAGACAGAAATCAAAGCTGGTAGCCCTCACTTCAGAGCAGGCAACTTAAGTTTGTGGAAGAGAGAAAAACGGTCGCTTCTTATTTGGAAGATGGAAYATTTTGGGGGCAGAAATAACTGAACTGGGACTGGGAAAGGAAGAAGGAAGGTTTCCATTGTTACATTGTGCATTCGATACAATTAGTGATGACATTTTGCAGCTAAATTAATCCTTCTCTAGGGCCCTAACTAAAACATTTCAATACAAAAGAAATTTAGATACTCTAAAGACAGACCTATCCCAAGTCTTCTTCCTTGCTTCTGCCCCATATCACAACGTCTGTTTTACTTGAGAGCATTGTCATCCTTCAGAGATGAAGGTCTCCCACCCACATACTCAGCCAAATTCTGCCTCCCCAGAACTAGGAAACTGCCTTGGCTTTGCTGCCGGAGGCCCAAGTAGCTTTAAAAATCAGAGCAGATGTTATTTTTAAAAACAATAACCAGCTTTGAGTCTATAAAGGTAGCATTTTACCTGGGTACTCTCAGATGCTGAAGTCTGAGATCAAGCAATTGCATCACTAGATCTATATTTTCTTCTTCCAAGAGGTAAATAGAGGCTTTCAGATCACTTATCTCCTTTCGGTAAATTTTTATCTTTTGGCAAAAACAAGATAAAGGTCATCTCAGCCAGACAAGAAAGACTATATCTATATTAAAAAGCTTTCCCAGGAATTACTTCAGGAAGAATGCAGGGAGAATGCAGCTCTATCGGCAAGACTGATGGTGCGTTTGGTGGGGCCAGGGAGCAAGATGTGCCCTGGCACTGTGGAGAGCTGCAGCTTTGCACTACCTTGGTGTGACCAAGTAACCATTGAGGAACACAACCGGAGTCTTCAAATCCAGGCAGATTTGGAACTAACTACATGAGGGTTGTGGCCAAAATAAAATTTGAACCAGCTTAAAACTGATTTTTTTCTTAATTTCTAATGCCAAAATACTGGAACATTGTGTCAGCTACACATTTCCATTTAGCCTGAAGCAAAACATTTCATCTGTTCTAAGAAAGTGGCTGAAATCTGACGACTGGAGAGGTTAATGATAATAGCTTTGTTTTCCACAATAATTTAGAGCACTAATTCATCAAGTAGGAAACTGGAATGGGTTCCGATTCCTCCTCTAACTTTGGAAAAAGAAATCTACTTCCCTCAGCTCCAAGAAAAAGGCTCATCAGGACACAAGAGTGCTCTGAGGTGGATCTGCCCCACTGACAACACCTCATACTGAATTCTGTGATATGAACTGGTATATGAAATGGGGTGGTATATGAAATTGGGATCACACAAGCAATCCTCTTACCTCTTCTTTTAGCCATTCGTTTTCTTCGATGTCCCTGCAACTGCTCTTGTCTATGCGTTTTACAGCGTTCTAAGAAAACACAATTTCAGAGCACTGCACTTGAAGGCAGGACTTTGACAGTGCTGTGCACTAAAAAGCAGCACCTTCTGCTGTTTAGCAGCAAATAATCAAGGAACATCCACACAACAGACTGTAACATCCCCTGAGGGATTAGAAAGAGATTTAGTCTACCAGGCCAGCTGTTTCATCTCCATTATCCAGCCCAGTGCTGTTTATAGGACAAGCCATTTACCAGTATTTTAGCATTTCCTGGATTGGAATTGGAAAAATTTCTTCTGTCTGACAAGTTCTGCTCAGTTCCTACTACCGTTGAAATCCCCCTGCTTTGAGGAAGTCAAAATATTATCTACTAAAAACCCATCACAAATGAAGCAGTACTGATTTACCCTGCTAAACACATAGTTTTCTTCTAATGAGCCAAAGCTACAGTTTAATTATTGATAGCAGTAATAAGAAAGAAAAAACTGGGAGGAAAGACATCAAAGCAGATCACCATAAACACACAGTCCTTCGGCTTATCTGCTCGTGTGATGAAACTCAGAGTACTGGACTCAGGGAAGGTAAAGAGCTGGTGGGCTCAGTGTTACACTCAGGTAGGCCTTGCCTATGAGGAGTGAAAAAAATCATCTCCCAAACATGAATTTCTAAAGTCATGGTGGAAATCACAGAGAGCAGAGGTGGCAGAGAGATCTGTGTAGCATGGAGCATAAATTTTACTAGATTACACTATCCTGGCAGTTCCCAAACCTGCCTGTAAAGTAAAATACACACTTCTATGTTTTTCAAATTCATGTTGATTTACAGGCAACCTCTTAATATGTTACTTACTGGTTTTCCAAGTAATGCAAGCGTCAGCACTAAGGTCATGTCAAAAGTGACATGTTCTTGAAGAAATCATGTCACTGTATCATGCCCCAGTGTCCTCTACTTCCTCTGTAAAACTCATTGAGCTTTACTCATTGTTAGTCTTCCATAAAAAAACAGGTACAGTGTGTTGTTAACAATAAACAATGCAGGATATAATATTTACAGGATATTTTACTCTCAATTTAAAAGAGTTGTTAATACAGAGTGCATGAATTAGTTGGTTTCAGTTAGCATTTTGAAAGAGGCAGAACGAATACCTCAGGGGCCTGTTCTTTGCTCTTCTTCATTTGTGTCTCAATCAGGTTGTCATTTTTTTCTTTCAGGATTTTCAAGGCATTTGCATAATATTCTTCAAAAAACAAACCAAAAAAAAAAAAAAGAAAGAAAGAAAACCAAAAATCATTATATAACATCGGTGTGCCCCTGCCAACAAATAAGTGTTGTTCTTAACCTGGAACTTCCCAGCCAGCATCACACGTGTACATATTAACTCGCAACAGGAAGGAATATTATCCCAGGAAGTCAGGTGTCCTTTTCTGTCCAAGGACAGTACCCCGAAGGACAGCAGTGTAACTGCAGAACTAGAATCTGAGCTATTGGCACTGACAACTACAACAGCAGATAAGAAGATTTATTTTCTGCTAAAATATGTATATCGTAACACTAAATCTAGAGTGTTTCAATAGCAGTGTCTCAGGAGTCAGAAGAAAATCTTATTTATAGGGGCTAGCACAGCTTTTTTTTTTTTTTTTTTTATAGTTATCATTATATTGAGCCTAAAAACTTCTCTGATGCCTGAGCCTTACAGAAGGATCTAACATGGCCAGAGAACAAAACGTAGAGTGTAGCAATTGCCCTGACAATAATTTTCATTATTAATCATAGTCATTATTTAGAAAGTGACTGTTAGGTCTAATTAAATTTGTTTGGTTTCATGTTCAAGTCGCTTGTTATTCAGTTATTTTTATCCTTCCCTTCAGCTGCTCAGCTATTCTGAGTAACCCACTACAGTTTGGCATTTGCTGCTAGTGAAGAAGTCAGTGAAGATTGTGGTGCTTTGCATTGAAGGAAGGCACTTCATGCTTCTTCCCGAGGCTTGAAACTCAGTCTAGCTCTGGACTGTTCCTGACCTGGCTCCAAATGACTATGGGGATGGATGCACTGGAATCTGTGAGCACTCAAGATGTGCCAGTTGGCTGCATCATTTCTTAATCCAATGCTGTGGACACTGGTCYACCTTACTCAACCCTCCATTAGACTTGGCAGAATGACCTGGGGTATTTAARCACTGTAGTTAAACCAACTCTTCAACCTCTTGCAGGCAGCTGACCCACCTGAGATGGAATGGGAGAAAGGGCCACACATACTCACATTTTCCGTGGAGGCTGATTTCCCTGTCACTGCAACACTCTCTTCTCCAGACCTCCCCTAAGCACATGCCTTCCTTAGCATGCCTGCCGAATCCACCRGTTTTGGTTCAAATGCCATCTGGAGACCACATGAGCTGTTCCAACATCGAGGCCTTTGCTGGTACCCATAGGAATACTTTCCTCTCCACATTCCTCCATAAACTTGTTTGACATTTGAGGACTGAACAAGCCCAATTTGCTGCAGTATCACACTGGGACTTTGGGAGGGAGAAAACTCTATTCCCCAGGCAATTTATAAGTTTGATTTTAGGAACTTGAGTAAAACGGTATGTTAACATCCACTATAGGCAGCAYAGTTTTTCGATATGCTAACTGGACAACTGCTGCACGTCCCTCTGACAAACCTGCTATAAATACACTTCAGTTTAACCACAGGCTTTTTTCTCTGCAGCCTGTGATAYGGAGGAGGTCAGACTGAGTGCTCCTAATGGCTCACTCTGGCATTTAATGTAAAAGCCCATTTTCCTTTTCATTTCATCTATCAGGAGCTATAAAGTGAATTTTGAGCAGATTGACAACAGGGAATGTGCATAATGAAAAATATCAATACAGACTTAGGTACCTGGCAAGCTAGCTGGCAATGCTGAATACATAATGCAGATCTTAATCATGATAAAATATGATTTCTAGAGACAAAAAGATAGCTAACTGGATCTTATCTGCAGTAATAGATGCCTGGTAATGGTTGGCACAGAATATACAGAGCCCCTTGGAGCAGTGTCACTGCCTGTTACAAGCAGCTGCTTGGCTGTGGTCATGAATACTGAGAAGGTCATAAGGGAAGAAGATCAGGATTTCTTTTTCCTTTGAATAGGTCAGGTAAAATACCAGCTAAATGTTTAAATTATTTTAAAATAATGCAATAATACAGAGAACTTAGTGGCTTTGTAAAGCACTCGAYACCAAAATATTCAAGGTTTTAAATCCATTCTACTGTTGGATCAGAATTGAAGCAGCTCCCAGGATGTGCACACATCCATGCCGGCAATTTCGCTGCACCTCATATATGGGACTATGGAACTAGGAGGTGAAATTCAGACCATTGGCTACAAAGCTCTCCCTTAGGGCTCAATTTAAACCAGTACCAGAACATTTGATTCAAAAGACCACTCCAAGAATGAGCTCATACTGCTTCTCTGTCAAAGGAGTTTTCAACATGCGAGTTGCTTGAGCATGATGAAAAGCAGTAAGAAGTCAACATCTCCAACATGACTATGAAGCGCAGGCTTCAGGAAGACCTTTATATAGGTATCCAAATACATGGAACCTGATAAACCTGCTATCCTTCACAATACTTCTTTTTTAGAAATGGTTTCTCTGTATTTTACAATAAAAATGTCAAAAGATTATCAGTTTCTTTAATTGGATATTCATAATGCCTGTGACTTCATCAGTTTCTTTAGAAAAGGCACTTTCACAGGGATAGGAGAAAGAGGGGCAGTTCCTCCATCTTCCAGCCTTATGCAGCACACCTAGGTTCACATGTTGATAGAAATGACTGTAGTTAGCCTGGCCTCAAATTAAATTCCTAATTTAATTAATTCATGCAGGTTATACACAATGAGGTTAACAGATTCATATTACACCAGCTGTAAACCGACCTGTAGCCCTGCAAAGGTCATCTTTAACTTCCTTGATGTCTTTTTCCAGATTCTTAATCTTGTTGGCCTGTGTTTTGCTTCCTACATTTTTGTACTCCAACCAGTAATCCCTCTCAGCCCGCTTTAGTAGAAGTTTTTGGTCTGTTTCTTCTATCTGGAAGTACAGATCTATTCAAGAAAGAACATCAGGAAAGAGGTTCTTTGTAAATTTATTGAAGAGATAACTCTAATGATTTCACATTTTTCTTTTATGAAGGCACTGTTGCTGGGACTGGGGAGAGAGGGGGGTTTCTGTACCCTACAATACATTGCAACATGATGGCCTCACATAGTGTCAAGGGCCACCATCATTGATGAAAACAGCTTGATCTTATTCTGCCAACAAGAGACAACAGTTCTCACCGAAACACTGTAACCAAAGACACATGTGACTGCATCCTCACTGAGAATCACAGGGATGGCAGCCAGAACTTTCAGCACTCAAAAATAGTCATTTCTACTGCCATCTTTTTTTTTTTTCCTTTTTTTTTAATCTTCCAACACAGCCAATGCATGGGACTTTCATGACTTTCAACTTAATGRAAAATATGAAGCATCTGTAGTTCCACAGTAATACATCACTTGGAAGGCATAAAATAGAGTCTAGTACATGGGATCTGTTTCAATCAAATACACACTTCTCTTGAATTTTAATCCAATTTAGTTAGCAGATTTACTTATAAACCTCATAAATCTTATTCTACACCTAGAGAGCGTAATTATGGGGAGGAAAAGCCATATGCTTTTTATGTAACATTACAGTTGAACCTCTATTTAACATGCAAAGAAAATCTATCTCAAATGGGTAAACAGCAAAAGAAACTTCCAGAGTTTACCACACACCTTTCAGAAGTTGTTCCTGGTCCTTAACATACTGCCACTTTGCTTTCAGTGACTCTTCAACGTCATCCCTAGTTACAATGTCCTTTTGGTCTTGCTCTTTCTCCTCCTCTTCCAGCTTTCTCAGGATACGCCGGATGCGTGCCTGCTGTTCGTCCTTCACATGGTCATTCTGTGGAAGAACCACAGCAGGAAAGGCACAGATTAAAGTGTTTTCTAGTTAGTTTTCTAAGTTACAAACTTAAGTGATAAATAAAAGTCAGATTTGGGTCAGAGMTAGGATGTGCTGCCAGAACATTCAGCTGAAAAGAGGTATTTTTATTTGAAAAGGTTGCAGAGAAGGAAACAGTCTGCAAGTCTCAAAAACTTCTCAGTAACTTCAAGCCCATTAAATAACTTAAATCCATTCCGAGTATCTTCAAGCCCATTACTACTAAATGAGAGACAAATGATAGTCTTGCCCTATTAGGTGCATCCCATGAATTGTCCTTTGCCACTGCTTGTGGGTTGACTTAATAACAGTATTTATTCCTAAGAGTTATCAACTTCCAATATTCCTCATGAAAATGTAGCACCTTGGACATAGCAATGATAATCCAGGACATTAGACTATCAAGTCCTTTGCCTACAATGCAGTAGAGAGAGCCTCAAACATTCACATTCCCGATTCTATTAATGCTAAACCACTCCGAAATATGGAGCAGGAAGCAAAGAGGGAAGCCCAAAGCATAGCCAGAACATTACCAGATTAAACAAAAAGCACTTGAATCTCGCCCTAAAGTACCCTGCAAAGTCTGAGAYCTTCAGAGACCAGCAGCCAGCTGCAATTGGGTAATAGCCACAGGAGACTGCACGTCTGCAGAAAGAAGATGGGTGWCTTCCACTGATAGTTAAGGCCCATAAATGAGACACCGTCAAGACGTCAAGAGTGCAGGGCACATCAAGGAAAACTAAACAGGAAGGTGTCTGTAAAAGCACTGCAAACATCAGGCTTTGGAAGGGCAGAGAAAAGCTGTTTGTTTCACTGTTTCACTGCTACTGGGAAGTGCAAGCTGCAAAACTGTGTGACCAGCATGATGCAGCTTAAGGGTTTTGCAGAGATTTTAATTCCTTTCMCTATGTGACTGCGTATGTATCCACAGTCAATACTAAATGGCTCAGATACCATTCTAAATGGCTCTTTAAAGTGTCAGTCTAGTGTGATCAGTAATTACATAACCATGGTTCAAGAATTACTCCTAATAACACAACTGTTAATCCACAAGCAAATGACCCCTCATTATGCACTGCTAAAATTTGGGCCTTGACAGGTCTAGAAGGTCTTTTTTCTTCATTCAGTTTTCATTATAACATACATTTTTGCAAGAATAACTAAGACTTTACTGATACCTCAGAAGTAAATCAAAAATGTCCATTTCAGGCAGTAGATAACAGTATTTAGCTGCCTCTTCTAGTAGAGTTATGTTTATGCGTATGTATAATTCACATACTTATGCATGTGATATGTGTAATTTAGATATCATTTTGACTTTTAAGTGCATAAAGTGATTCACTAACTCTAGTTTCACTGATTGCAAAGGACTCAAATGAAGTACTACAGCTGCAATACTTGGACTGAATGAATCAAATCTGATTTTGTGAATTAAACCACATAGGAAACATATAAAGATGCATGGGAACTTACTTTTTCTTGGTATTCTTTGTTCTTTTCTTCCACTTGTTTCAGATCAAGCAAAATCTGATCAATTTTTTCTTCTTTTAAATGAATCCTATGGAGAAAGCGTAAAGAGAAGTRGTTGCAAAAACAGAAGAGCTAGATTATTTAAAATAGATGAGGCATAAAAACTGCTTAATGGTTTTCTGCCTTCCATTACATATTGTTTTACTAATTGGGTAAGTGCTGCTGTCTTCCTACTGCACATAAAAAATGATTTACCAGATGCAGCTGGACCTTCATGTTAGTTTGGATCTCATGTCATTACTGATAAAAAGACTCCCTGATTATCTTATTTCTGCATAGTTCTAGTCTGCAACAAAATAAATAGCTCCCCTGGCAGATAGATTAGGCTAAGAAAGGGACCATTAGCTGGGACTTCATCATTGCCCCTCAACCTTGGATCATTTCAGTTCTGCTACAACTCAAGACTGAACTGAAACTAAGCTTCTAAAGTCTAAATAGATAATGAGGGAGTACCAAAGGTGGAAAGGAATCCGGGATTAGTAATTAGGACTGCACAAGCTGGAGACCTGCAACCACCTAGCAGGCTGGAGGTGGAAAACTTCCACAAGGAAAGAATCATTCAATAGTTCTGCCTTCAGCAGCTTTGGGAGTCATTCCCCAGATTACATACAAAGATACAGGCTGGCAAAACTCTGTGATTTCATCTATTCTTGCTCTTGGGAAAATCGTTTACTGCTTCTGGAGGTGGGAAGGGATACAAAGCATCTGCAGGCTCGCTGCTTCTCCCCTCCCAAACACTCCTCTGTTTCTAGCTAGAGGTAGTACAAAACTCCAAAGTATCTGAATTTCATGGTGTTTTCTGTGGGACTGRCGTATCGAACTTCATCCTTTATCATAGTATTTTTTATCTTAACAAATCAAAACAAAAAGGTATTACCAAACGTGTATCAATGGCACAGCACTTCATGTGCTACTACTGCATTTCAATGTCACATGCCCAGTATCCAGAGCGTATTTTACTATTTGTAGGAACAAATCTTCAAGCACAAGTAACCCACCTCCTCCCAYTGGATGGTCATATTTTGAATGATGTTCCTCACTAGATTACAAAGGTCTTCATCACTTCAATTCATCTCTTACTTTAAAGCATCTGCAATGTACCCATTTGCATCTAAACCAGTTGCTCCATGATTTCTTTGTAGCTATCAGAGAGATACAAGCAGTTTCTCTCCTTTCTGGTTGTGGTTTAGCTGGCCTGTATTTGCAGTGACCTTTAGGAGACGATTTCTGCTTACAAAATATTTCTTTCTTTTTCTGTGATATTTGTTAGATTCAAAATGCTACAAAGCAGCTAGATTTATTCAATAGCAGCTAGATTTATTCAATACAGTTCTACCCTGCTGTGCATACTAGATGCAACACTTCCCCACACAGAAACTACATTCCATGCACTATCAAGACAGTTTTCCCAGTCATCTATGGTTTGCTACCAGGGCAAGGTTGAGCATTGTTCCTACCCAGACCTGAAATAGAAAATTACACCAGAAATGCAGAACAGTGAATTTGCCATGAACACAAATCTCCTCCACACACTGGAGAAAAGGCATGAATGGAAGTTAAATAAATATCATATACTTGATTAATCCTAAAGATAAATGTGAAAGACAATTACACTTGTATTATTATGTCCAAAAAGAGGAGTTGAGATGTTACAGATTTACAGAGGTGAAGGCAGACTATAAGAAAGGGAGAGAAAGCAGTATTTTCCTTCATTTTCTACTTAGTTTTTTGTTGTCATTGTTCTATAAATTCCTCATCCTCTCTTGGTACCACACACGTTATGGTGGAACACTTTTCTGACACAAATGAGTCATTTTGGTCACCGGATATCGGAATATGTCAAACAATATTTTTACCCTCAAACTGTATGAAAAATCTGTAGCACTTGGGTTAAGTCTTCTCTCCATTATTTCCATTATTTTCAAAGTCTTTCTTTTCTCTCAGTCTCAGCAGTTTGCAATGAGACTTTCTCTGTGGACATCTCTAAAATTGTAATTTTTACCAGTAATGGGAGGGAGTAATTTAGAGATGCAGTTGCCGTTATGTAAGATCTCCCTTTCAGGTCCATAATTTCATCATTAATCACCTGGTGTGTGCATTGGGTATGGAGACAATCCTGGCAGTGACTGGCTACATTCCCAGTTGGAAGCAGTGAACACAGCTTTGCTCAGCTACACTTCTGATTTCACACAGCCTACAATTTGTGGTAACATATAGTGACTATACATTCTGACATGATTTCRTGGCAGCTCTGACTGCTGCTAGGAGGAGAACAGGAACATTTAATGATTCAGAGACAGTAATCCAGGTAAATCCAAGAAAAATCCAGGTAATCCAGGAAAATAATCCTATTCACTTAAAACAACTAAACGATGTGTGTAGCAAGGGAGCTGCACAGTCAGGAGTTGCTTATCGTACTTAGTGTATGTGGGTGGAAATAACATAATTCTACCTAGACATACCTACAATCTCTTGATAACAACTCCTCCAACCCCCTCTCAAATGATCACCTGCTTCCATCCAATTATATGCAGACCTGTGATGCTCTGATGTGGACTTAAATACATTATTAAGGTAAATGCATGGCAATCTTGTCTAGGAACGCAGCTCATCAGATGACACTGAATATTCTGATTAAGGATTTTGTGTTTCTATTTCCAGACTCTGTTAATGATTCATTACTCATCGGAAGTATTCACAGAGGCAAACAGTAGGTTGAACACCATTTGGAATGTAAGTCTAGAGTGAGCACATGGGAGAAATGCTGAAAAGTACTATTTGGAAAATCACTTCTATATGCTTTGTTTGGAGATGGGCCTCTGAAAAGCAGCAAGGTCAAGGGAGACTATTATWCCTGTGTCATGCCTGATTATGTTCCCTTTGGGTCAATGTAAGGAAAGAACAGGAATCAGAGACTGACTGCTCCTGATAAAAGCTCTCTCCAAGGTATCTTTAAACATGCTTTTCAGTTTTGGAAAAAGTCTTTCTTTCAGAAATACAATTTGGAAACATGTAGAAGTGCAACAGATGTGTCTGCAATCAGTGCAGAAAGACAGTGTGTCAGACGCT